TGAACTTGAACGCGAGTCGACCACACGGCCCACTGTCGAGGACAATGAATTCGAATACTCGATCGACACAGAACTTCTCGTCCTACTTACCGTGACCGATGCACTCGACAGAGCTCACAATATTTCTTGATGCCGGCACTCGAACCGCAAGTGTAATCCAATCGTTGTTATCACCATCAGAAGTCACCAAACGTTCTGGAATCCAGCTAGTCCAGAACGGGGGTTCAACTACTGCCAGGGAGAGTAGGCTTGTACCAGTAATAGGAAGTACTTATTCTCGACACCATGTGAGTCCGAGCTGCTTCAAGCTGGCCATTTGACGCGTGCAGTGTAATTGAAGCGGACACTACAGGCACCTGCAGACACTTTTAAACCTGGCCTACTTGCTACAAATTATATTTCGATGACGTTATGGCTCGAAGCATCTTTACCCATCAAACCATCAAGGATACGTGTTTTATGAAACCTATCAAGCAACTGCGAAGCTCCGGGCTGTGCAAGCTCAACACTGGCTAGCTGATATTCAATATGTTCGCAGCCATCAAACTAGGCTGTGCTGTTATGATTCGTCTGTACGGACGGCTTTTGATCGATCTGATAACACACGCACGATGTACACCGAAAATGATCAAGTTCATACCAATGTCAAGTGACTTGTACATCTCCGAGTATATCGTGATGCACGGTGCGCACGTGCTACTCTCATCACTCAGCGTATTAATAATTCTAAATTCGTCCTGCAAATATCTCTTTGCACCAAAATAGCCACTAGTGTGAATGCACCACAAGCACAATTGGACAGGATTCATGATCACACAGCAGAAGTCATGGGTATATAGGTACGTATCAACTTCATTCTAATTATTGTCCTCTGAACCTGCTTCAGTGATTGCTCCACTTCGCAAGTACCGTCTATATCTTCACACGGACCCTTCGTGCTATTTCGTTTGGTCCCTCACATCTTCATCTAGTACTGAACATTTTTGTAAGTTATATACAATGATCAGACTGTCTCCTATAATCTTGCATAATTCAGTGCGGGCATGATGAATAATTTCGGACGCTCAACCAATGATTTCGATGCAAGGCTGGTCATTGGGCCGATCCAAGTCGGTGGGCTTTTGAGTGCTGCACTATTCGGTTGTCTTTTTTGCCAGTCCTACGTGTATTTTGCAAGATTCCCGAACGATCACCTCACCCTGAAAGCAGCTGTGAGTCAGTCAACTGTACAACCCATCGTTGATTTTATTGATCACACTATATGATTAGGTCTCTGCAGTCATGTATGTCCCTTGTTTGCCTTGGGGCCTTCAAACAGTGACACACTCCCTAGCTTCGTTCAGCTAGGTCACTTTATCTGCATAATATCAATATTGTGGGCAATGACTGTTAGCACCTATGGCGATCCATCACAACTCAGAGTGCTTCCTCTAGCGGCAGACCTGGCCATACCATTGAGCGCTTTCACAGCATTCATTGTGCAGGTAAGCGGTTTCGAACACATTCCATTCTATGTTGCTTATGGGCAATGTCAGTCATTTTACGCGTTTCGACTTTGGAAGTTGACTCGAAATATCTTCTTACCCACTCTTTGCGAGATCATCTCTGTGACTGCACAAACTTCTACGCTCATTCTCTCATCGTACGCGTTTTCTATGACGGACCTCACGACTTTTGAAGACAATCGACTCCTGCTGATTGCGCTCTCTCTCATCGCACGCGCAGCTTGTGACGTGATCACCACCAGTGGCATAGTCTGGAGCTTAAAAAAGAATCGAGGCTCTGACATCGGAGAGTAAGTGCAACTGACATAATCTCGTCTACCATTCCTTACATTTGTCATAGCGTGACGACCACGACGATCGACCGGTTGATTTATTGGACAATCGGTAAGATAGAAAGTGCCTTCATGGGATGCCCTTTTAACGTTACGTCCACACAGAGACTGGTCTGGCTACCAGGTATTTAGCTGTTTCATAAGATGTTTCTATCAATGATCTGTTAGTTTGATGGCCGTTATAGTGGCAGTGTTGGTAAGGACCTCATCACCCATATCTTGCCCAAAATGAAGCATTGTCTAACTAGCTCAAGTTTCTAGTCCTGAAGCAGAACTGTGAGACTCAGTGTTTGTACCACATTCTGTCACAGCTAAAATGACGCAGTTGTGTGGTTTGGAGCATGGTTGATGTTGCCTAATGGTAATGATATGGAATACTTCAAATTTAACATATTGACCCGTGCATCGTACAGTCATAGGGAACTCCTTGTTAGCCTCGTCAGTCGCTGGACGGACTTGACAAATAAGAAATACGACGAACTTACCGATACAACACACAGGTTAAATCGGCGATTACTCCTTCGAGAAACTCGGATTGTCTCTGCCCAGAGTCGTGGTAGTTGTTTGGCAAGTATCATTTTATCAACTGCATGTAAAGCCTAATTCTATTTCAGAACACGATTGTGTTCAGAACTGGATGTATCCAATCACAAACAGACCTACTGGCGAACCTCGAAAACTGGGGCGTTGAAGCATTCCAAGAAGCAGAACGCTCAATGGATCGGGAACAAATGTAGGTTTCCATGCCTGCGATAGTTCATACGCGAGCATGTGTTCAACAAATGATGAAACTCGTTGCTGATTATGGGGCGAATGTACGATGAGATGATTTACTCTTCACATTTTGTAGGTTGACTTTCAGGCATGCGCTCTGCGTTAAGGTTCATCGATAATAATGTCGGATCCAGTAGGTGGCCTGAGGCTGCGGGCTCACCTGAGTACCACTTGAAGGATGTATTACAGCGCACGACTCCAGCGATTCGTGAAAGTTGGATGCATATGTCTCAGGCAATCATCATCACAGTCAAACGGCCTCATTGAAGGTACAGATGATCAAGCATCTGACAGAGTCTATAGGCGGAGGCAGAGATGCGCATTGTGCATGCTCCACAGGGACTTGACTCGAGACCCGAGTACTATAGACTCAACTTGACACAACAGTACACAACAACTAAACCGCATTTCCGCCCTCGCTCTCCAGAAACTCCACCGTGACCTCCGCGTGTGGCTGACTCCGCTTGAATTTTCCGAGTCTGCCAAGGGGTGTCCAACCGTCACAATCCAATTCCTGATGCCTTGTATTTTCGACACTCGTGCCGGTGCGAGTCCTTGGCTACTTCAAGTTGGCTACGGTTGGCTTTCTGGACACAGCGTACCGTCCGAGTTAGCATGACATCTCCAAGGCCGAGCATATCACAAGAGTATAATCCTGGTTGGGCATAGAGGACCGTATGGAAGTACGAGCGGTGCACACCTTGGTGCACCGTCCAGCTTACTAATTATCTAGATTCATGCTACAAAAGGTAGCCTCCAGCAATACATCAATCTTCAACGCACAATATATCTAGAACATCGGAGATCAATCCCAATCGCGTAGCTAGGTGATGATGGCTGTGTATACGAACTTTGTTGACATTTGTTCTGATGATATTGGATATTGTCATGCTGCGAACATGCTTCGGTGTTTCTGAAGGTCAAAGTTCAAACGCACTGTTCTCTATAGTAAGGCTGGCGAACAATTTCAATGGCCTGTGATTAGTTCCTGTAAGGCTGACTATGAGTTCAAAGGGGAAAGTGAACGAGACGACGACGAAATAAGACGTATAGTTAGATAGCAGGAAAATGACAAGACGAGACGTTTGTGAGACTTGAGACTTTCGTTGGAGTGTGCTTTGGAGCGGGGAATCAGCGCATGAGATTCTGCTGTTCTGCTGCATTTTCTCTGGATTTCTCTATAGGTATGAGTGTACATGGGCTGTATATACGTTTTTCGAGTAATTAACTAGGCCAGAATGAGAATAAGGAGCTATGGTGAACGGTCAAAGCAAGGGAATCGTGGAATCTGAGCACAAAGTAAGATAATGAAAGAAAATGGAGAAGATCTGATGCGAAGAGTAACATCCGTGAGTCACGTGTTCGAGCGCCTTTGTTTTGAAGCGTGGTGCGTAAAGGATATGCGATCTTTACATTCCAGTGAAAGCCCGTCAATCACTCCGAACACGTACTAGTCCTGGGCAAACTTCAGAACCTATCACTACTAGAGCTGAACGGCACAGGCGGTCATGGGGCTGCTATGAATCGGAAAGGCTCGGCCATCGGGCCAAGTGGAACGGTCCAAGTCGGTGAGCTTCTGAGCGGTTGCCCTATTCGTATTTTGCAAGATTCACGAGCGATCACCTCGGCCTAAAAGCAATTGTGAGTCCGAGTTGATCAATTGCACAATGCATTGTTGATTGATGTTGTTGCTTATAATAATACGACTAGGTGGGCGCCGGTATTATCTGCAGTCATGTGCGCTCCATACCTATAAATTTCCATCTTGCATCGCACTGCGATCAAGTACGGGCCATCAGTTTTATTACCGCGCAGCGAAAGCTATGTTTTGTTTATATTGATTGCCAGCATTTGCCTCCGACGCAGGTGCTATATCACGCATTCGCACTGATATATCCTGCCAAAGAAGCTGCGTTTCTGTACTTTCTTCAGCTCTGGCGGGCGCAACCTTCGACCGTCCCTCGTATCCACAACTAATTAACGCTTTCGTAAGCCAGATGCATCTGAATGGTCAGACTATTTTTTATAACCTTGCAAAACTTAGTGTACGCACGATGAATAGCTTCAAGCGAGCGAGCGATTTCAATCCAAGGCTGGTCATCGGACCGATCCAAGTCTGTGGGCTGTTGAGCGCTGCGTTATTCGGCTGCCTTGCCTGCCAGTCCTACCTGTATTTTGCAAGATTCAGGAGCGATCACCTCGCCCTAAAAGCAAGTGTAAGTCGATCAACTACACACTTCATTGTTGGTCTGATTGTTCGCTCCATACGGTCAGGTGTCCGCAGTCATGTGCGTCCCATGTTTGACTCGATTCCTCCGAATACCAACACAGACTCTGCAGCCTGATTCAGCTAGGCCACTTTGTTTGTGTAATATCGATGTTGTGGACGATGACTGTCAGCACCTATGGTGACCCATCTCAACTCACCGTGCTTCCTCTAGCGGCAGACCTCGCCGTTCCGTTGAGCGGTTTGACAGTATTTATTGTGCAGGTAAGTGGTTTCCATATGTATATATTCATTATTGAGTGTTTACGAGTAATATTAGTCATTTTACGCCTTTCGACTTTGGAGGTTGACTAGAAATGCTTTCTTGCCCATTCTTTGCCAAATGCTCTCCCTGATTGCACAAATTTCCACATTCGTTGTCACAGCAAAGGCAATTTCCATGACGGACCTCGTGGATTTTGGAAATAATCAAATGCTGCTGGTTGAGCTCTCTTTCGTCGCACGTGCAGCCTGTGACTTGATCACCACCGCTGGAATCGCCTGGAGCTTAAAGAAGGAACGAGACTCTGGGATTGGAGGGTGTGCATATTCATCATCTCACCCCAAGTTGTTATTTCTTACATCTGCCATAGCACGGTTACGATGATCGACCTGTTGATTAAATGGACAATCGGTGAGATATTAGGAAGCGACTCCATCGGATGATTGCCACCTCCTAACATTGCCTCTACATAGAAACTGGTCTAGTCACTAGGTATTAGACTCTTTTATGGCTTACAAGACTTCTCATGAACAATTCGTTAGTTTGCTGGCCCTTACATTGGCAACGTGGGTGAGGACTTCATCATCGACATCTTCCCCTAAGTGGAGCATTCTCTAACCAGTCTCCCAAGTTTCCAAACCTGAAACAGCAGTCCTGTGAGTGGGCTAATATCCCGCTTTCTACCACAGCTGAAATGACGCAGTTTCGTGGATTGGGTTATGGTTACTGTGGCCTGATGGTAATGATACGGAATACTCCTCATTAGATATATTGACCAACGTATGGTGCAGTCGTAGGGAACACCTTGTTAGCCTCGTCAGTTGCCAAACGAACAGATGATAAACCGACAACGAAACTTACCGATGTCATACAGGTTGAATCGTCGGTTGCTCCTTCGGGACAGGGCCTCAAGAAGCGATACCCAGAGCTGTACCTTTGCTTTGGTGAGCACCATGCATTTAAATAGCTGTATGTAAATTATAATTCTATTTCAGAACACGATTGCATTCAGCGCTGGGCCTACGCAATCACAAGCTGACCCATCGGAGAACTTCAAGGATCGAGATTCACAAGTGTGAGCGCTCAATCGGTCAGGATGAAATGCAGGTTCATATCCGAGCGTGTGTTTAACAGATAAACGAAACTCGTTGCTGATCTGGGGGTAAATTGCAGACGAGATGACTTGTTCTTGACGTTTTATAGGTTGGAATTAGGCATGAATTGTATGTATATGTCAAGGTCCGTTAGTAACGATGTCAACTCCAGAATGCCAATGTACTAATGTACTAGGCGTCCCGTGAGGTTCTGTTTGATGCTACGCAGTCCCAAGCTGCCATTGGAGATTTCTGAGTCCGCAACGGTTCATTATATGCGAGGGTGGCTTTAGAAGATGAAGAAGAAGAAGAAGAAAACTCGTGTCGTGTTTGCCCTGCCTGACAGCGATGGTGGCTTGGGTCAAAGTGCGGGCGCGAATTTAGAAATTCTTGAACATTTGTAGAGCTGATTAACTTAGTTGTGCTCGGGTATATTGGTAATCCCACACAATAATCATCATGGCCCTCAAGCTGGCCTTAGAATAATCCCAGATGATCAGTGGATGACTGTCTTTCAAACTGAATATGTAGAAACTGTGACGGCGTATGCAACAACATTTTTGTGTAACATGGTGCATTAACGCAATGATGCGGATCACTACATAGCACTAGGAGGCGATACTCTCCTCAGGCTGCTGACAGATATTAATGCCAACATACTGCACGATTTCTGAACATCAACACTATACAATAGGAAACCAACAGCGTGCCAGTGGATGATGGTGTGCTCAACTGCAACAGGGAAAATTACTCGACAGAATTCTCCCGAGATTACGATTCGTAGGTAGTCATGTTCATTCTTCTGTGCCAACACCCAACTCAAGGGCATCAAGGTTGGCATCGGCGTCTAGTGCGAGTGCTCCTTCAAAAGAATCCTTGTTGGAGCCGGTCTTTCTGTGAGACTTGGGGCCCTTGGTTTCTTTAGTTTGAATGTTAGCGGGTGGTCGAAGTGATGCTGGGTGATTTTCATAAGATATCAAAAGATGAACTTCACATGGCACGCACCATGAATAACGGGCTGTAGATTGTATAGACGATATAAATGAAGGACTGCTTGTTCCTTGTCTTTTGCCTCGATCATCAAATCTGTGCTAACGTAAACTCCATAGTTCCATGTTAGAAGTGTTCTAACACACCCATATCATCTGGTAGGGCTTCTGGTAGCCTCTGACATCTACCTGCATGCGCTCTGCGTTCCATGACGGTGACGGCGCCTTCACGAGGTTCGCTTAAGTGCTGCTTAGGCTTGATGCCACGCCTGGCGAAAATAATGTTGGTACGTGCAATAATCTCCCGGGGAGTGAGATCAGGAGATGGATTGAGCGTGTCGTGATGGTGGTCGAAAATAAGTGGGATGTCCAACTTCTCGCATATCGGCAGTAGATCTGCAGCATTGTAACAAAGCTGAGGGGACAGAAGGGATTAGCGAATAAAGCATCATCCACAATGAAGTAAGGCTGACCTCATCATTTTCTAAAACTAAGCGATCCCTGACCGCCTTGGGAAGGTCTTCCTCGACTGTCTTGCGAATCCTGGCGAGCGCTGCCTCTTTGTCACCGTAGACTCCTCCTCCGTGAATGATTATGACGCCATCAGGTCCAATACCCATGAGGCTGAGCATCTGCGCATGGTACTCA